CCCTCTATCATTTAGATTGTTGTGTCTCAGCTGGGGACACCGTATAATATGAGGCGGTGAATTTCTTAGTCTCTAAAAAAGGTTTAAATTCAGTTTCTTCTGAAATCATAGATTCAGACAAAAACTGTAGCTTTATTGATTTTGATGTAGTTCCTGTATGCGTGAACTTTTACACACGATAAAACAACATTTTCAGTTTGTTTTATTGTGATTTTAGGTGTTACATCAAACCAAAGGACTTGTAATTGGGAAGTGGAAGAAAACAAATTGGCCCAGTCAAAGTCCAGAACTTGACAAGGCTTAAAATTTGAGGTCCATAGGCAATGTCTACCCAATCCAATTGAGTTTGATATATTGCAAAGAAGAATGGACAACTACTTTATTCCCTAAATGCAAAGCAGGCAAAGATGTGGTCTCAGTACAATTTATGTGCTACTTTTAGCTTTTTATTGTGGAAAATCGCAAAAGATTACATAAAATTTCTTGATTTTAACATGACCTTGTTTTGTCGAACTCAGGGTGCAGCAGAAAAGAAAATGGATGTCAAAGAGATACCAAATACATGTTCAACTAGTATGTGTCTAAGGGTGGAAGTCCAGGCACAACGGAGAACAACTTCAGTGTCTTTGACCCTGTCCTGTCCTTGACTCTCTCTTGGAAGTGCACCTTGAGAAGACTACCATGTGACGCTAATGCTTCTGCACACAAAAACACACCAAGCTTTCTACTAGATACAAATCCACATACACATATACACACAACGGCAGCCCCTCAAGGCTCTACATTCTCAAGGCTATCAGTGGAGTGAGGGTGGCTGATGTTTGCTCAGCTTTGAGGCCCTTTTCCCGTCCCAACAGTCTCTGAAGCGCAGACCTCACAAGAGATAGTCTTGAGGAGATGAATTGTATCATGGCAATACAGAAGGCTCTGAAGATGAAGAATGTCAATCAATAAATTAAGAGTGAATTAATTTCAGGAACCATTCCTACTTCCCTCTTCCTACTTTTGTGGCTGTTTGACGTTTCAGCCATGGCACAGTGTTATCAGTGCTAAGGGGCCAGGGGACAAGCATGGTGAGGGGTAGCAAGAGAGGGGACATGGGTTGTGTTTGCATAAAGTGACAGTGTGGGCCACGGGCTTATCAAGGCCTTTGTAGATTATTGATTGGGGCAGATACGTGAGGTACATGGGCTTGTACGTACCAAAGTGTGTTGGAGGTTTTGGAAAACTCTGGCTTGACAAAAAAAGGATGCAGAGATGTTCAACTATGCTTCTTTTGTGAACTATTGAATCTTCTTGCAACACGGCAACCTTGGATACCATCATTCGAAAATGTTCCTGCCACACATATCTAAACATAGGGTATGGAAAACATGGGAAGTGCTGATATTCCCAGGCTTAGTTGGAGTTAGGAATTAACCTGGCTGTAGCATGGGGCTTATGTTGTGTCCCTGCATTTCATCCTTCAAGGCAACAGCTTGCTAGCAAACACCCTCTCTTGTGCACGCACACATACACACAGCCTTATCTTCCAGGGTCTTGTCTTGTTTGGCTAACACTGTGCAAATAGAAGGTGCAATACATCTCCTGACAGTTCCCAAAAGCAAAGGGGAGAAACACGCTGGTCAAACAAACAGCCAACCCTGAGTCACCCAGAGAGAAGGAGATTTCTCAGGCTTTAACGAAACACAGATACACACACACACTTGGTGTGTAACAGTAGCCTGAATTTGAAGGCTTTGGGGCCTCTGGCTACCTTTTTAAACGTTTGTCTAAGCAGTCTTAAGACAGGAGCTGCTGCTCCTGGAGTGAATGGCTCCCAGCAAGCCATCCACAGGCTCCCTTTGTCCTCCGTCATATTTTATTATCTCATCAAAAAGCAGGAAATCCGATTCCCTCTCTCTGAAAAAGAGCTTATCCTTCTGTCTGAAAGCAACCTGTCACAAGAGGGAGAGATGGAGAGAATGGGGGAGAGTTGTTGGGCCGACTGGAGACAGTGTAAAGGAGTGATTAACTGCCTCATTGCTATCAGACTCTCTTTTCTTTTTTCTGTCTTGCTTCGGTCCGTCCCTCTTGATTGGTATTTATCCAACACAGAGCACAATGTGAGGGGTTAGGAAGGCACAGATTTATCACCTTTGTGGATTCTTTCATCAGCCCTTCGTCCTTGTCTTCTTTTTTTCATATAAAGTTACACAAGGTAATAACTGCATAAATATCAGCTTTCAAAGAGCTGTGTTTTTGAACATCCTGTCACTTGTGTCCTTTGTGTTTTTTCACACTAAATATTGAGTCTATATTCATCTGGTAATTTTCTGTTATGGACATAATCTGGCTCCTTTCATATGAAAATCACTGCTTTTATTTTATAAACAGGACAGAGGGACAGAAGTCCATATGATGGTTGTCCCAAACAACAGTGGTTCATTCCAATCCTTCAATGAACCACTGTTCATGCTGCAGGTTTCAGATGGACGCAAGGTGTGTTTCAGTGCATCTAATTCAAATACCCCAGTTAACTAAACCACAAGAAGATTTAAAACCTGCTGGGCTGAAAAGAAATCTTTCCTGTATTCGTTGTCATTTTCACACTTAATAGAAAATGAAGTCCTTCTTGCAGCGCAGAGGGGGAGACACACAAAAAAAGACTCAATGTATATCCACATGTGAGGCTGTAAATGCACCAGAAATGTTTTTTTATTATTTTTGTGTTAGAGGACTATGCCTCACTCACTTTGTTTGCCTTTTCCAAGTGCTGCTGCAAACTCCACAAAAAACTTTCCGTCCTTTATTGCCTTCCCTCCTCGTGCATCTGTGTTTTAATTTTGGGCTCTGCTGAGAAGTTGTTAAAAAGCCCCATGAAATATGTATGAAGGATTGTGAGCCACGCGATTGGCCCCATTTACTGGACAGCAGAGCAAATGAACAGCCACACTGGATAATCCCCCACAATGCCTGTGGAACAAAGGCCCAACAGCTGACCCTACAGAGAAGGATGGAGACAAGAGGAGAGTCTGGTAAAAGGGTGGGGGTGCAAACAGTTAGGGCTCACTGGTGGTCAGGAGGCAGTTCACTCATATGCGCCTCACATGTAGTGGCAAAACAAAGGCTTGTGGGACAGGAATAACTCTCTGTTCTGTTGTTCCACACTCTCTCCTTAGACTCTTCTCTGCCCCTCCTTCCTTCACCATCGCTCCCTCCCTCCCCCTCTCGCAGTCAAGAGGATCTGAAATACCAATACCCTTTTCTCCTTGACATTGCTTTCTCCTTGCAGTCAGCGTTTTGCTGTCCTTTTATAGTCAAAACGTCAGGAGAAATTCCATGCAGGAATATTCTTAGTAATGCAGCACTGCCTGCATCCAGCGGCCAGGGTGCTGCGCTCCTTTGGCCAGTCAGCGGAGTCTATGGGGAACAGCGTGCGCAGGCAATTGCACAAACATGCTGTGCCACACGCATTACCTTGCCCTCGTGCCAGGGTTATTGTGCCAGTATTTCGGAAGCTACAAACAGCCCAAACAATGAATCATATCCTCTTCCACTCCTCTGGACAGGGGGATTCAATATTTGGGGAATTGGGTTATAGCATCCAAGCTCCTTATTCATGACTCACCTTTTCACTTCCACAGAATAACATACACACCACACGCCATTCATCACCCCTAGAGGGGGTGGGTGGGCTGTCCCATGTGTGTCTAAGAGTGTGAATAAACCCTGCATGTGTGTGTTCATCATGTGTGTCCACTAACCTTGCTGTGTCCTGACACTCCTGATGAGTATCTGCAGGACACTAGGAGAGGAGCGCGCACTGTCAGGCGTTTAGACTAGCTGCTGCTGTATCTATATATTCATGTGTGTGTGTGTGTGTGTGTGTGTGTGTGTGTGTGTGTGTGTGTGTGTGTGTGTGTGTGTGTGTGTGTGTGTGTGTGTGTGTGTGTGTGTGTGTGTGTGGGACAATATGTGTCTGCGTGTGTATCAAGAGAAGCGGGCAGGGAGATAGTCAGCACTATCCAAGCAGGTGACCCCTGAAGGCTGCATCGCCCTGAGCTCTGAGTCGAGGAAAGAGCCAAATACACCAGGGTAGCTAAAGTGTGTGTGTCACCATACAGGATGTGTCATCTCCTTGGCACAAGAAGGTGTGTGCGCTGGTGTGTGTGCTCACGCCTGCATAGGTGCGTGTGCATGGGTGTGTGTGCGTGTGTGACAGAGTGTTGGCTTGGGGGAAGGTGTCACAGATCTTTGCCAGACTAATCATCTCCACGGTGTCGGTGAGCGCTGCTGTCAGGGACACTAAAGAGGCGGCGTGTCTCCCCGTTCCCAGAGCATTTAGTACTTCCTCTTTCGCCAGCACCTCTCTGTCGCTCTTCAAGTCGACTCCGCTCTCTCAGTTGGTCACAGATTTGCAGCGAGAGCCATAAACATGTCACATGTGCCATGTTGCTGTAGAGGGGGCGGGGAGTGAGAAGCGTGATGATCCTGAGTATACACAAGAAGTTGCTTTTTTCTCAGGCTGCCGCCTCACTCGCATTTTAAGGAAGTACACAGAGGAGATTTATGGTTTTACATTCACAGGGAAGATATCAAGAACACCACCCTAGAAGATATTCAATTCACAATGGCGTGCAAAAGTATTTACAACTCTATAATGTTTTCACATTTTGCTGTATTACAACCAGAAACATCGGTTGGCCTTAATGGAGATGTGTGTTTTCCAATCCCATTTAAGACTTTCCACAACATATGTAAACTTTCTAACGAAGGCGCTCTAATCAGATTACACTAAAACTGGCCTTTTTGTCCTAAATGGCGGTGGCAGCATCTTACTATGAGAATGCTGTTCGTTGACAAAGATAAAAATGTTGGTTGAAGTTCAGGGAAAGATGGATTGAGCTAAATGCTGGGCAAGCCGGATGCAAACCTGAGAGAAGCTGCAGGCAACTTGAGAAAATAAATCACCCCAAAAACTAAATGCAAATATTCCTTTCTTCTCTTTGTCCACTAAGGTCCCTGATCGCTTCCTGGAGGTCGCTGAGATTACATTGCGGGAGTTCTTTAATGCCATCGTGGCCGGCAAAGACGTGGACCCTTCCTGGAAGAAGGCCATCTACAAGGTCATTTGCAAACTGGACAGCGAGGTCCCTGAGATCTTCAAGTCCCCAAATTGCCTTCAGGAGCTTCTACATGAGTAAAATTCCTCCTACATCTCCATCTCTGCTCATCTCTTTGCGCTTATTTTGTTTGTCGTTACTGATTTAATTGAATTTTCAAAAAATTCCCCCTTAGTTTTTTTTTATTATTATTTCTAACTAAACATTTGATTTATTTTTTTTTGTTCTTTTATTATTATTTTTGAATATATAAAAGTTATGGAGTAGCATTCCCAAACTAAAGCCTCTGTGGCATTTCCTAAATGATCTAGCTATTGTGTTGTTGTTCATATATTATTATGGTTATTATATGTTTTGTTTTTCTAACATTCTGAAGTGAAGAGACTTTTATTACTGGGTGATTTTGGACTGTGTGAGCCCTCACCTGTATGGCCTGTTTTATGAACAATACTACCTGAGTGTGCGGAGGGATTTTGCATTTACACCACTACAAACACAGGCAGGGTTTACTAAGAAACTGTATCCCTCCAGTTCTAGGGGCATCCTGACAAACCGTCTCCTGCTTGGCTGCCTAATAGACTCTGCTTTATAAGATGTCATGAAGAAGACACACATGCACACAAAATTGAGGCCCACTATGGTTATTGACTGGACTAAAACTGGACTCGTGTTACTGGTCAGCACTGGTCTGCGGAATTTGGACTGGTTTTAAGAGGCTACTGAAATCTACCACCTTTTGAAGTGTATTTTCCCTTAAAAGCAGGGCATTGTGTTTATTGGGTGTACATTATTTTGATTAATATTCTTATTGTTGTTTATGATTATTTGTCATTTTTGCTTGCTGAAGATTGGCACTTCAAGATTTGTTTGTCCCTTGATGCCGTTGCAGAAGAAAAATAAATTATTATTAATATTACTCCAAGCGCATTTAGATTCCTAAATACTTTCTCCATCATATTTCCCTTCATCCTTTTCTTTGCTCAAGTTCCTTCATGAAAGCAATCATGTCAGGTTTTCTGTTTGATTGCAGCAAAAAATGTCCTTACCATGTACTGTGTCCAAAAAAGGTTGCAGTAACATTTCACATAAAAGAGTACAGAAATGCAAAGTGAACACATTATATTTGTGTTTTTTTTCTTCATAGTCATCTTTAAATCAGCAACATTTCAGATAGTGCTCCACCTGAAAGTGTGCAACTGCTATCTGCATACTATTTATATCCAGATCTTATAAGATGAAGACAACCCGATTACTATTTAGGCTTCTGTTCTAATAATCCTATGCGAAGTGAAAATGACATGCTAAAGTTTCTTTATTTGCAGATGATACCTGAATATTTCAGGATATTGTAGATAAAAGTAGCTTGAAGCAACACACACACATGTGCACATACAACTCAACCATAACAATTTGACCAACTGTTTAGTGGTGTAAGCAGTCAAAATTATCCATATTCCTGGTTTTAAATAATCTTTTACCAACATGTTTCTTATGACTGGAGGTAATGTTAAACAATTAGATTTAGGCAAAACCTGAATTCCATTGAGAACCTGTGAAGACGTCTAAAAATTAGGGTGATCACTAAAAGGCCTTCCTCTCCTATAGACACAGAGTTGATCACCACCAAAGATATATTATCAAATACCAATGGAATCCGATGACAACTGGTCAGCAATTATAAAAAGGGTTTGTGTGATGTAATACAAACAAAGATGTCTACCTATTTGTTTTAATTAGGTGCTTTTTTAAAATCATTTTATTCTCTTTTGAGTGAGACTCTGCCTATCATAAACAAACTTCTTGGTTGAATGATAATTACTTTAAGCCAAAAACTTCCAGGGGTACAAATGATCCAACGGGCGAAAACCAACCCTTTCATTATTTCTGACACATAGACACATGCGGCAGTGGCATCTTTCTTCCATGTTCATCTGCCTGTGAGTGATCTAGCTTTTTCCTACAAAGCAACAGTTCAAGGTCGAAGGTGAGCACTCACCCTGAGGGTAGATGAAGAAGTTCTCAGCACTACAAAGATCAGGGACAAAGGAGCAGAGCGTTGTACAACGCACACCTGGAGCTCGCCGCTCTGCCCCGCTGTCTCAAAGCGGCTTCGTTTTCAGACCCAAAGTGTAATTTGCTTGAAAGCCACAGTGCCCAGATTGCTAAATGGCGGTCCACAGAATTTTACCTGTGATAATATAACCCAGATTTTTTTTCCCCCTCCTTAACTGCACATATTTTTAGAGTTATTCATGTGTGTGTGACTGTGTGCTTTCATCCACCCTCTCTCAGGCTGAATAAAAGCGAAGGAAAAAGTTGACTTGAAAGTGCGTGCAAGCTAGCTGTTGAGCTCACCTTGGAGTCATTATCTTATAGGATGTCTTTGTGTTTCACAAAAGATCAAAAGGACCAGGTTGCTTGACCTGCTGACTCGTCTAAACGAGACAAAGCACCTGACAAAAGGCAACAGCAAAAGACTTAGAGCTACTCCCTTAATTATGTCCCCCTCTCCTTCTCCTCCCTGGACAGTTCTTAAGATTGGGAGCCCTGAGAAAACGACCTGGACACTTTTCGCACTGAAGGATGCCTGAGTCTCAAAGCACCAGCCAAGGGCTCTAAAGCGTCACACACAAAAGGGAGAAAGGAAAGACTTTTATCTGATACGCAGATGATTATCGCTCCCTGCCCTGCCCTTCCTGAAACTCCACTCTGATGTAATACTGTTTCTATGCCTAAAAATTGTGAAACAAAAATATTTTTGTCAAGTTTTTATTTTCAGTTGTCATTTGATATTTATGATGAAAAAAAAAGAATATTGAAGTTCCGTTCTAGCATTTTTTTGGTAATTTATGAAAATATCTACAGTTTCTGAAGGCTCTTTGAAAGAAAAGGTTTAATAAAGCAGCTATTGAGGGTAATTAAGGTGACAATTTTATTGAATTTAATACTTGGAAATGTCTCAACTAGGAGGAATAGGGGTAGGTTTTTACATTTTTATGGCAAGTTTTTTTTTTTATGTGTCTTTGTTTTTCTTGCTTCGTGTTGAATTAATATCTTGTTGAGAAAGAAATGTGTTTAGAAATTTTAAGCACGTTTCAAGAGTATGAACTATTGTGGCAAATGTCAATATGTCAGGATGAAACAAAATACTTGTACAGATTTTTTACATGATCGGTAAGAGTGCTAGAGAGGAATGAGTGATTAAAAGACTGAGTTCGGGGGGTGGGGGAGTGGGGATAAATCTAAAAAACATACAAAAACAGCCAGCCCCATTGAGTCCCCCACCCACGCACACCCCTGCCAGGCCTTTAGCGGGAGTCCATCTCCCATCTCCCATCGGCAGTACTCTTGAAGTTGCACCAGTGTTGTGGTTTCTTTTACCGTGCGGTGGGGCCATAATGGCACAGACGGTCGCCAACATAGACTGAGACCGAATCCGGGAAATAGACAGGATCTTGTAATCAGATTTGCCATGGAAAGGAAATGTGTACATATATGCTTTGATTAAAGAGGCGAGAGGCAGACGTAAAATTCATATAGGGGCATTTGTTTTATTGCTTGGTAAATAATTGTGGATTTTCTCTGTGCTCATCCGTACGTTTGTTTCCGACATGTACTGTATACAAGTGTTTGCGTCTGTGTGAAAGAAAAGGCCGATTATGAGAACCTGTGAACCACCGAGTGACACAATTCTCAACACTGTGTGCCCTCCCCCACCCCTGGGACTACCATCCTGACATGTAAACGATTCTCATTAAGCATTGGCAACATGTGTTTTGGTGTGTGTGTGTGTGTGTGTGTGTGTGTGTGTGTGTGTGTGTGTGTGTGTGTGTGTGTGTGCGTGGGTGTGTGTGTATGTGTGTGGGTGCCTATGTATGCGTATGTGTGTGTTTTGATAATTTCTTCTGATCTGTTTTCTGACCTGTTTGAAAGAGGATTTTGATTTAAGGTTTTCTGTGGTAAATCCTTTCTTTAAATCATTATTATTATTATTATTATTATTATTATTATTATTATTATTATTATTACACTGCTCCTCTTTTATTGTAAATAATAATGACGTGGACTTACATTGATAAATACAGCCTCTGTATAACTTAGCAATATGTTTATGTAAATAGTGTTCTTGCTTTTTCTATGACATTATTAGTGCAGTAATTCCAACTGGAACAGCCATGTTTTTCTACAGTCTGAATAGTGACACAGGTTGTAAAATGAAACTCATAACGTGGCTGCTGTACTTCTTTCTCCGGTTACTGGTGTCTATTTGTCTCTGCAGATTTTGTGTAATTTATTGGTTTAATTTATCCTAATTTATTTCATGTTGTTCTATTTTGATTTCCTTCCTTCCAGCGAAAGCTGCACTGCATTGAAACAAGCTGAATCAATTTAAAAGATTTCAGCCTTTTTTATTTAAAAGTGAATTTCAAAATTTGTAATGTAATTGACAGAAATGCTGAATGAAGATCAGGCAGCTTAATGGAACTGGATAGATAATGGGTTTGACTGGGTAGAGGGTGGAGTTAGAAAGCTTGAAACTAGTTTAAAGACTTTTTTCTTCTCTTGAGATGTTTTATTTTTTTCCCCCTGTGTTGTTTTGGCCCAGCCCAACAAAGAACCAGTAGTCAAATTGCCTTTTGTGCCTTCACCCTCTATGAACTGAATGTATGTGCAGTATATATGCAAGCTTGTGCTAAATGCAGAAAAAGATAAATAAAAATAAAAAATGAGAGTGGAAAATGTCAACGGCATGTGGCTTGTTTATTATCTTTTTTAAAGCATCTGCAAGATTGTAAAGACTGGCACTGAAAAATAATTCTTCATTTCAATCATAAAACCATATTTTACACCATGAGTTCTAAATATTTAAAAGGTCTCAATCTAATTCCTAGGGGAAAAAATTAGATATCCACATCACTTGGAAATAATTTCATGTCAATACATTCACTTTCATCATACAAGTGTTGTGTTTAATGATCTGTCACCTTTACCCAAATTATTATGAATGAGTTAAAAAAAATTGTCATAAGAATGATTTTTAAATAATCGTTCATAATAATTTACAGACAATACCACATATTTTTGTTGCACAAAACAAATGTAAGTGCAACAAGACACTGTCACACCAAACAGATTACAGATTCCCAGACAGATCACACAGAAACTCAGGATTAAAATATGAGTCTGTTTGTCTTCAGTTGCTTAAACCTACTATTTTATCAGAGTTTTCAAATTTGTTTCACAAAGTAAAAGAACCCACATTTTGTGGGGCTACTCCTGTGGTTTTTAACAATCTTAAGCAATCATCTCAGTTATATAATATGTTATTTTTGCTAAATGTTTTGAAGTGCAGTGTGATTGTGCTCTTGCTTACTCATTCTGCAATAAGAATTTCCAGGATGCTTTGGTGATGATTGAAGATGATGATTTACTTTGTTTTGACAGCAATCATCTGTGTTTTAACTGGAGTATTTGAACTCCAAACTCACCAAAAATGCACATGACTTTGCAATTTATTTCTCAGACTCTCTGATAAAATACTTTGCAAAGATTCATCTTTCTCCTCCTGAGATATGTGCACATTGCAAATTCTGCCTCTTAACTTTCCCTGTACCGTAAATAAATGCTTCATTTTTTGTGTTATCATAGCAGCATAACGCTGATAATGAACTTCAACTTAGCATACACTTTGTACACTGTCTGGCCACAGTCAACACCTGTTGACTGGGTCCAGACTGACTGGGAGTTTAGTCCAGATCCAGATCAGAAACCGAACTTTGAAAATCATTTCATCATCCTGAAGTCTCCAAACTTGTTCCTCCTGCATTGAATGTTCCCATGCATTTAATTAATTACCCATGCCCTCTATTATTGTGGAGAAAATGCCTCTATGATGTGGCAAATAAGAGTTGAAAAAAGTTTTTGTTTTGTTTGGTTTTTTCTGATGAAATAAGTTTTGGTCCTTGAATTAACAGCTGTAGGACTGCAATGATGGACTTCAAGAATTTTTTTATTATAATATATAATTATTCACATATTAGCAAAACAGATTGATATGGCATTTCCATGTCTGTTTGACATGACACTGATACTTATTTACTGCAAAGAGAGAAAATTA